TTGGGCTGACGAATGCTTGTGCCACCTCTCAGAGATGCATGAATGATATGTTTAGAGAGTGGTTAGATTTGTTGTCGTTTATTTATATGATATCCTCATTTTTGTAAGTCAAGAGAAGACCATCATGAACACCTTCAGTTGATATTGAGCAAGTTGTGTGAAGCTCAGTTTAAACTGAAACTGAAAAAGTGTAAATGGGCCAAGCGCCAAATCTTGTACCTTGGACATGCAGCTGACTGAGATGGAGTCGAGGAGGAGGATGCAAAAATGGCAGCAATTCGAAATTGGCCTACCCCACATACGCTGACAGAACTGCGGTCGTTCCTAGGACTGGCCAATTACTATAGGAAGTTCATAAGGAACTTCACGTCCATAGCTGCATCATTATGCAGATTGTTGAGAAAAGAAACCGTTTGGAATTGCAACAAGGATTGCATTCAGCATTCATGAAGTTGAAGAATTGCCTGATTGAGTATCCGATCCTTAAGATAGCTGATCCATCTCTTCTGTTTATAGTGACTACTGTCGCAAGCCAATACAGTATTGGTGTCGTTCTCCAAAAGAACGATGGAGAAGGGAATACGCCTGTTAAGTTCACGTTTCATACGTTGTCATGTGAGACAGTGGTAGCGTCAACCTACTAGAGAGAACTACTCGCACTCAAGGAAACATTAGCGCATTGGCGTCATTATCTGTTAGGTAGGCATTTCAAGGTGTACTCAGTTCACAAGACACTTCGCTGGTTAAAACTCAGGCCCAGATGTCTACAAAGCTAGCTAGATGGGCCACATAAATCGACAAGTTTGATTTTGAACTAAAACCGGTCAAGGGTAAGTACAATGTTGTTGCGGATGCATTGAGTAGGCACGCATATTACTTTGGCGCAATAGTAGTAACTTACCTAGATGCAGGATGGGAATTGCAGCAGAAAATCAGAGATGTCTATGCATATGATAAGTCTATAGCAATATCATAAGGAAGGTGAAAGTTGCACCTCACAAAGTTCCTCATTATCGGACGGCCGATGGAGTGCTA